CGCCAAGTTCTCTACTGATTTTCCCGCCTAAGGGGCCACAAGCCGAGTCAAACCTGGCTGCCAAAGACCAAAGAATCTTTGCACATGGAGGCCACTGTCCCACGGCCTGCCAGGACAATCATGAAGGCCACTCTCTGACAACAGGAACAAGTGCTGCACAACTGGGTAGGACCATAGTCCCACAGTCTGCCAATCATGGAGATCACCTAATGCCAGCAGAAAGTTGTGCTCAACAGTTGGACGGGTCCACTGCCACCAAATCTGGTGGATATTTTTAGTATATACACATGTATAGGCCTTGCTATTAGGCAGATCTCATATACTTTGCAATTCCCTTTGTATATCAAGTAAATCCGAAAATTGGCCATGGCCTCCCAATCTTTGTGTGCCTTTTACTTCATTATCTTTCCAGCCTTTGAGTTTGTGTGATTGCCTTAGCTTTAGCACGACTTTGTGCTTATTTCTTGGTTAGGACTGAAGCTGTGAGTAGCATACAGGCTATTAAGCTGTCCGCACGTTGCTTACTTGAGTTAAGCCCGTGACAAGCGTCCTTATCGAAAAAGAAAATTTGCTTCCTTGCATCGGTTTAATTTAGCGGCAGAAGGAAATATCTTCCTCGCACGTATTATTTAGTGCAGTGGGAAAATATATTAAAAGACATGTATTTTGGGAGAGATGGGTATTTCCAACTTGTTCTTTAGTAAATGTAGCTTTGTAGGATTTAAAATGACTTTAAAGCTTCTTGGATTTATACCTCCCATTACCTTCTTGCTAATACATAGTAAAAGTAATTCTTGAAAGTTGGAGTAGCCTCAATTTTCCTAGTTTGACTGAGCTTATGGAGACCAAGAAATTAAAACCTGGTAATCTTGCGGGCTAAGTTCTATTAATCTAAGATAAGCTTCACTTTCTCAAGATGACTAGTCAGTTGATTGATTAAGATGGATACACGGTTCTTACACGTCAAGGGAAAAAAAGGGAGGGATCACTCAGTTTTTCTTTTGTTGGTTGCCTGGTGCTACATCAATGAGATATACCTATATAAATGTACAGGCAAATGGATTAAGGACTTACCTTTCTTTTGGATGTTACTTTTATTATTTTGATGTTGCCTTCTGTTATCTAATAGTGTTACTACTTCCTCTTATTCATTCTTTATTCAAACAGAAGTGCACAAACTATGAAGCAAAGTCAACAAACATAGCACTAGTCTTATCAACATGAATTAGCCATCAATTGATGTCCTATTTGTTTCCCTAGTCCCATTTTGTGATACCAAAAAATTATGAAATTACTACCTCATGTCCACGAAAAGGATTAGAATATGATTAGGTGAATCTCCAAAGTAGCTTCTCTAATTCCAATTAATAGTATGTTGGGATTCTTTTATATTTTGTAATGTTAAAGTTGTATTGCAGGGAAATCCCATATTGGGAGTTCATATCTATTTATACTCGGATGATGTCACAAATGTTGATTGCCCCAAGGGCTCTAAATATTCATCTGGTGATCTAGGACTGAAAGAAGCACTTTGCCACAGTGTGACAGATGCTAATGGAATCTTCTCATTAAAATTTCTTCCTTGTGGTAAAACTCTTCATTTCTGCTGATGTAATTCTTTGACTTAGCTGTGTGTAATTATATAGTTGCTAAGTGTAAGTTATTTCCTAGCATTATTTGAATTTTCGGAAGGTCTTAAGTGCATAGGTTTGTGTTCTTAAAAATCAAATAAAAATAAGACATGAAGATAAAAGAAGAGATCAAGATGTTTTTTTTGATGTAAAATGATATCATTAAAGAGCATCAGGGTGATGCTAATAGCAAAAGAGTACAAAAGTTAGTTAGCTCCATTACATGAGTGACTAAACTAAGATCAGGGAGCTAACAAAATCCAAAAGTTGTCAACTTTATTTACAGGGGGGAGAAAGTTCCAACTGAACAAATTAACTGAGCATATAGATTTCAGAGAATGGGTTGGAGTTGAGATCCCATCAACACCTGTGATTCCTTTCATTCCAAACAACCCCAAAAATAGCTGCTCCAGATCTTCTTGATGGCTTTGTCAACTCTCCAAAAAATCCATTTTTTTATGCTTCCTTAATAGATAGAGGGACGACCCATTGCAGACCAAACATAGAGAGGAAAAAGTTCCAGATGGCTGCTGCAACTGGGCAAAGCAAAAATAGATGGTTGATTGATTCTAAATTCTGTTGGCACATGTAGCATCTGTTGGGTAAGACTATATTCCTTCTGCATAGATTATCCTGTGTGAGAGCTGCTTCATTAAGTGCTATCCAAGTAAAGCATGAGACTTTAGGTGGTAGCCTAGTCCTCCAGACATGTTTTCAAGGCCAATTTTCCAGCATACCATTCTGAGAGCACATGAGGTTGTAGCTGTCTTTCACTGTGTAATTCCCATCTTTGGATCTTCCCCATACCATGCTATCTGGTTGTTGCTCATCACTAGTGTCGTCAGGGAAGGTGGCTAGAAGTGTGAGCATGTCATTTATTTCCCGGTCTTTTTATTGCATCCGTAACTCATAACTTTAAAAGGTATCAGTTAACTTTGTCAGATATCTCAATCATACTGTTAGTTTACAGCATGTATATAGTGTAGTATTGTCCCACATTGGTAGAGGAGTAGTATGTCCTTGTATAGTATAGCTATAAATAAGGAACATGACCTCTTGTATTGTATTGTTCATCAAATATCAATAACATATTTTCTCCCGTACCTTCTCACATGGTATCAGAGCAATTGTGAGAGACTTATCGTTGTGCATAAATTTCAGCGATTCCGGGAAAGAGAAATCAGTACTTTTTTAAGGTTGTTTTCTATCTGCTTCATTTCTGTCAGTGTTGTGCAAAATCCAACACTACCATAAGAGTCGTCACTGTCCGGCGACCAAACCCCAGTGAAAAGCTCCGGCAGCAGCCTCCTCACGCGCCTCCACGCGCCACCAGAAGCTCACGCGCCAGCGCGTACGACCACTTCCGGCCATTTTTTGAAAATCTTCCTTTAGAACAGTTGGGTCGCCTGGTAATTCCGATCCTACCCCTACTGTTTTCATTTTATTTCGACAACTTTGACTTTTTTCCGGCAACTACAATACTATTCCGATAGCTACAGTAGATTCCGGCAGCTACAGTATTTCAGTATTTTGTTTATGTGTTTCCGTACTCTCTTTCAGTGGATTACAGTTGATTCTCTCTCTTATTTGGTAATAATTTGCAACAATGTCTTTGGGATTGATGCTTTTGGGTCTAGAAACATGAGTTCTGGAAGCTCTAGTGCTATTATTACCTCAGAACCTTTAATGAGAGGTTCAAACTACTTAGCTTGGGCTTCATCTGTCGAGTTATGGTGTAGAGGTTAATGTGTTCAAGATCATCTAATCAAGCAGTCTAGCGATGGAGATGAAAAAGCAATAGCACTTTGGGCAAAAATCGATGCTCAGTTATGTAGCATCTTGTGGCGATCTATTGATTCCAAGTTGATGCCCTTGTTTCGTCCATTCCAGACATGTTATTTGTTTTGGGCAAAGGCACACACCTTATACACTAATGACATATCTCGCTTCTATGATGTGATATCGCGGATGACAAACTTAAAGAAGCAGGAATTGTATATGTCTACTTACTTGGGTCAAGTATAGGCAGTCATGGAGGAATTTGAGAAGTTGATGCCAGTTTCTGCTAGTGTGGAAAAACAACAAGAGCAGCGACAGAAGATGTTTCTCGTTCTTACCTTCGTTGGACTTCCTAATGATCTTGATTCAGTACGCGACCGGATTTTGGTTAGTCCGTCTGTCCCGACAGTTGATGAATTATTCTCTCGATTACTCCGCCTTGCTGCAGCACCAA